GTCGTTGGTGAGTTATAGAGTCGCAAACATGGAGCAAACTAAAGAGAAAATACGGCATATTTCACAGTACTACTACGATAAAGGCAATAAAATTTGTGCAGTTTATGGACCCGATACAGTTTCCATTTCCACCGCACAACGATGGTTTCAACGTTTTTGTTCTGGTGTAGAGGTGGTCGAAGATGCGCCACGCTCCGGAAGGCCTGTCGTCGAAAATTGCGATAAAATCGCTGAATAGGTCGAAAGAGACCGGCATAGTAGCAGCCGTATCATCAGTCAAGAGCTGGTCATGAGTCATCAAAAAAAATTTTTGGTACAATTGAAAATTCAATAAAAATACCGCAAGAAATACCACAAGAATTTTTTGACAACCTATTATCAAGTGATTTGTAAGATGTTATTCAATATATGATTATATGGAATATATACGTGGTTGTAGTATGCCTTTATTGCTTTAATTAAATGTGAATGATATCAAGACACGGCCAGGGCCACGGTTGCTCTGAACCATTTATAAGACTAATAAAACTGTGCTCTCAACCAACTTCTAAGTTTCCGACGTTAATTTGAAATCAGATGTCGAAACTTCATAACTTCACCCCTCGTCTTAAAATGTATCGTTGTCAACTGTAACTATGAATAATAGCACAAACGAGCTRGCTATAAYGGCATCACGCTATCATCAATAGTCAAAGTTGTTTGCATATTCAAAGGACAATTTAATTTGTTCGAAGAACGTCAACGGAATCCATATTGATTGGGCTCGTATACCAGTGATTGATAGGTTCTCCATGTGTACCACATACTCATACATTTCAACACACTTACATACATTCATACATACTTTCATTGCGTATGTATGTATATATGTAAGTGTGCATATTTAAAATTCTCCCTTTACAGGCAAGGCGATGACGGCAGCGTCGGTCCGGTGGGTCCCGTCGGCCCTGTCGGCCCAGTGGGCGATGCGCGGATGCACGAAGCCATGTCGCACACCTGCCTCAGCTCATCTGCCGAGTATGAATTGGCGCTTATCCTGAAAGAACTGCGATGGATCACAGATCAGGTGAGGCGAATAAATTGACAACAATCTACCTTTACTGTTATTACCGGCACTTGGGCRCCTGAAGAAGGTGTGCGTGAGATGTGAGTGTGTAGSTGCTGGCTCACCCACGTGCACGGGTGTGTCAAAAATGCATGATACTCACAGGGCGCCAAACGAAGCGGAAATAGCAAACACAATCAGATGCACACTTGTGAGCGCACACAATATGAGATGACGGTTTTCATTGATAGTCTATTGTTTTCGATTTTAATGATGTCATTCATAAGATTTGAAATTGACGGCACTGAAATACGGACTTTGTGATGGCATGCGGGCGCCAAGGCGGCACTTTGTAACTAGATATGTGAGCACGCGTCGCTTCACAGTGAAAAGATGACTGTCGACTTTTCTTGAAGTGGTGGACATACTCTGCAAGGAAAACGCGAGTCATCAGTTTTTACTATAAAAATTGAGAACAAGTTGATGCAGCCTTAAATATCCSTTGATCGGCTTCGGGAGTTTTGAATACACATACTATTAGTTCGAAATTGAGTTATAAAAAAGTGGATATGCATTAACGGTAAAATACAATCTGATGAAGTTGACCCGGACAGTCCCAAAAGTCATCTATCTTCAATCATTGATAACAACATTCGAAAAGACTATGTCTGAAAGTGCTTGAAAAAATATTATGCTAAATCGTTTATAGCCTCTTCCTATAGAATTTTTGCTTTGCTTTGCGTCAGACATTTCTTGTATGAGTGCGTTCACATCAAAAAGTGGGCGCGAAACTAAGCAAAATGCATATTTTTGAGCTTTGCCAAGCCGCAGTCACAATTTTTAGTAGAAAGAAAATCTTRATCCTTTATTTTTTCGCTTCGTTGTTTGTGTATGAAATGTCACGCAAAGCGAGGAAAGTTGTATGTGAATGAGCCCTTCTGCCGTTTCTAAGCAAATCAGAATGTAAAATGCATTCAAAATATGAAAGTATTTTTTTATGAGATGATGCAACTAACTAAATTTGAAGTTTCGCAGTTTCCTACTGGGTATTTGACAGTGAGCGTGCCGACGAACGTCTACCCTCGTTTTAGTTTGAAAATGTATTGCTTTGTTTACGCTATCAATGTGTCAAATCATGAATATTTCAATAGATCCATTGCATCACATGTGAAGATAATCTAATTTTCGTGTCAAAGAGTCGTTATGGGCCAACCGTGTATGGTTAAGTGCTAACACATATTCGCCGATATACTAAGTAGCTTTACTTTAGATAACTTCAAAGAGATTTGTCGAACATTAAGCTGTGTATATTTTATATTACTTCCATACTGACTATGAAATTATATAACGAAGTAAATGCTCATCTACCATGAAAATAATTCTTTAGCGCACTCAATGTTGTTTTTTTAAGAAAAAATATTTTTTTAGTGAAAAAGTTATGACAACGATGACTAGGATATAAAAAACGGGTTTGGCATAGCAAAAGCTATAATATATGTTTTAATTCTTACTTTCAGCTGAAGAAAGAGGACGAAACGGGCGATGTAACGCGCGACTGGAAATTCGCAGCGATGGTAGTTGATCGCTTGTGCCTTATAATTTTCACGCTGTTTACAATAATTGCCACTCTGGCGGTACTCTTCTCTGCACCACATTTCATTGTAAGTACCGTTCCGGATGAGTATATGCTCTGCCGAATGCCTTGCTTTTATTTTACTTTATTTTATTATTATTATTACTCTTTCAATCGTATTTAACTTGGAATTTCTCTTCGCAGTTCCCATAATTTGTGTCAACGTCTAAAGTCTGGCAACTACAAAAGCAACATTTGGTGCAGGCGATAACGCGGAAAGCTACGATTACAATCAAGAAACTTTTATTCGTCGTTTTTGTGTTTCAATGTCAAATGTCAACAGAGCGATTTTCAACCTCTAACTATGGAAGGAAAAAATCAACAACACATGTAGCAAAAAATGCAAATAACAAAAACAAAATGTGCCTCAGTCAACGAAAGAAAAATTGTAATTTTATGCCGAAGTTGTAACAATTTTAGGTTTTTACGCAGTAAATGATAACAGTAAAACAACAACACCCGTTACAAATGTTAATAGACTCTTGAATTTTCTCTTTCTAGTTTTGATCCGTGAACCAAACACACAACAGTRCAATTTCAATGAACTTCACTTACCCCTAATTCGCTTAACGCCACATCGATGACTCGATCTAAATATATTCTGGATTGACTGAGAAGGTGCTGAATTTTTCTTACCCACTTTTAAACCCTGTTTCTATATATTTGATCAAGCATCGACAAATATTGGGGCTTTATAGAGAACTAAAATCTAAAACAAAAAAATTTAGTATATAGGCTCGCATAATCTCAGCCATATTACATCATATATTAGGTTGAGAATGAACTGATGAGTTGAGCTACATATGAGCTCTGACTGATGAGGTGTTTGGTTCATACGAGTACTTTAATTTTCCTTTCTCTCTAATTTCATAGCTATGTATGTTTCGGTTGAACTAAGTTGAATTGGATATAAGAAAAAGGCAATAATAAAACGTGAATAAGAGTTCGCTGTGATAAGTAAAAAATTGCTGGTGTAAAAATGTGCATGAGGAATTTAATTCGCATGTAGAAAATGTCAAATGTACACTGTAAGATATGTGTGTCTAACTCTAATTATACAGCTAACTCGAAGTCGATAAGCTGAGTACCAGGGAAGTGACAGCTAAGAGGCTTATCAGTCAATTGATAGTCAAATAGTTCGGAAACCATGTATTTTGATGATATTAGTTTTTATGAACCGATTTCAAGTGGCTTGGCACTTGGAAATTTCACTTGACATATGAGCATAGAAAATGTGATAAATGAAAACGAAAGCAAAATGTGAATTAAGCGTAAATGACTGTATATGTGGAAAGGAGTTGTGAAAATTGCAAAGACATTTGCCGTCATAATTCTAACTATGATACAAACTAACATACAAAAAAGATTCTAAGTATCAGCAAATCTAGTAAAGTGCTTCATAACTATATAGGCTATAGATTTACGAGTCTGTGCAATTAACGTTACACTCATACAACACTTACTTCCGCACGACTGCAGCAGTCGAAGTACTCACATTTCCGCGCACTCTCTTTCAAGAGATCGCCCAACTCATTTTSTAACCGAACTCAAATTGCCGACGTCGTAGGCAAAAGAGAGCAAGCTGCGAAAATTCAAATATCTATTGTACTTAATATCGAGAAAGTATAAAGTTAACTATTTTATAAAGTAGAAAAAGGTATAAGGATATTACCTAAGTACTTGTTAACGAGAATAATGCTCCATATACATGCAATACATACAATACAATAGCAAAAGAGAACACTAATAATAATTTAAAGAATAAAAGAGAAAACGAAAACAAAAACAAAAACCAAAAAATAGAAAATAATAATAAAAAGTTGGAATTAAAAGCAAACACTTACATTTGAAACATGCAATATAATTAGGAGATATACTTAAGTCTAAGACACAATTACGGTTGATGCATTACATARCAATAAGTCGTTGAATTACATGCGTAGCCAATTGTATATTACAAACGTTTTGATGCAATTTAAACAGCAAAAAGTTAACAAATTTCGTGCGTAGACTCTACCCTCTAAGATATATTATAGGACACAGCGAGTAAAACATGATGATTTAAGTCTAAAAATGCATGACATTGCGCTAAAAGTCTTCAATTAAAGCAATCATAACGAAAAATCGCAATAAATTTACATATACATATGTACATATCTGTGTATGTATGACTATATATTGCTAGGAGTTTGTATAAGGTTGCCAATAATACCCTGAGATATGTGTTAATGAATAATTAGCGATATTTTAGGTTAGTATAACKACCGTGGACACTCCTCGGCTTATCAATAGTGACAGAGAGACACTGGGACACTGTGGCTAAAAACAAACTGAGAGTTTCGAAGCGCAGAACACAGAAAGCAAGAGCAAATCGCGAATTGATGCGCGTGGCGGTGTGCAAAGTTTCTGCATAGATCATTGTACACCCAGAACCTGCAGTATGCTGCCCACAAGATCTCTCAGCTTCGCCTTTTTCCCTCCCTATTTAACATGCTCTGAGCACTTCAGTAATACATATGTATTTTAACAGCATAGTTTTGCCTTCCCGCGCAACTGTAGCGTAGGTAATATATAAATTTGAATTAAACCAATAATTATGACCTAGAAACGTAGRCATACATACACACATATTTGTATGGCAACATTCTTGCATTTTCATTGGAAAAGATAAACAATAAAATTTCTATTCACTGAACGTTAGCATAGTTATAGGCGCAGCAACATATATCTATCATACGCATACTCACAAATATCGTTACGAATATATACATATATACATATTTATATAAATAGCGAATTGGAAATTATTTGTGTCACATTGACATGCTTTTGTATCGACAAACAAATAGCCAAATACATAGTACATACCGTACATAAAGCTAGTGTTACAAAACATACRTACATACCTACATATATAGCAGTACATCCTTATGCAGCAAATTAGAGAAGCAACAAGAGCGCTAGAATTATATAATATGAGCAGAAACTTTAGATATTACTTRGCAAGTCGCAGTCACAATAGATAAATACAACAGTTTTAGCTTGTATACACACACACACACACATGCGTATCTCCATAACTGATACATCCACGCAAACATATGTATATGGGCGCTTGGAACGAGTGGAAGATCCACATTGGAGCGAAGCTTTAGTTTAGACAAGCGCGGTTATTTTTATTACAATTCGAYGCAGTTAGAGCAGAGAAGACAATTAGCTAGTAAATCGAAAATATTACAATCACGAACACATTTGTACATACACACACACACGCTTGCACAGAGTGACTTCATCTCATCGCTAACTGCTGTAGATGGTTGCAGCGATCCGCCGCCGCCTGCAATGAGTTTGTAAATACCCCCGCAACCTACGCCCACCCTTTCCATGCACACACACACAACTGCACAGCAACAGACACGTACATTTATAAACGTATATATATATATATATGTAGATTTGAAGAACACAATGWCAAACCGAGCTAAATTGCACGCGAAAGTGCAAGCAAATATGGAAATTTGAATGCGTGAAAACAATGGTCTTCCTTAAAATTAAATTGTAACATAGGCAAAAGTAAGCGCATAATACTCAATCAAAACCAAATATATGCATACATACRTACATTATGGGCGTAATTAAGTAATACAAACATAGGCGTAAGCAAAACGTAGAAACTCGTTTAGAGTTTCAATTTCAGTTGATAAGTTTCATTAAATTAAGTGAAAGAGCGATATGGAGTAGATCATTCGACAACCTCACTATATTTTGCTAGACACCCGATTGACACTGCTATTGAACAACCCTAGCATTGTATGACCTCCATACACACCCCGTCGGAAGAAACGCGGAGCAATGTGGAATCTCGTGATATGCTCAGGGTACAAGGTACACACTTAGGCATGATTATAGCTACCGAAATTATTTATTTGGTAAGCTCTAGAACCATTTTAAAAGAAGGCAACTTTCTATCAAAAGCTTCATAGTTTTACTTCTTTAAGTACACCCAAGTATATACAATTTGCGGAATTGTGGTTCAAGTCTTTTTATTTTTGAACATTTAATATTAAAATGATTTGATTGAAGCAATGACACTAAATTCCTGYTCTAGCTCCGAGCCGCTGCTAAGGCTAATAAATGCGCAAATACCGGGCTCGGCCAATGACATAACGAAGAGGGTTGCCCCTTAACTTGTTCGCTTTTTGTTAAGTGTAGAGCTTTAATTCCAGTACATAAATAGTTAMAAACAATAATCTAATAATCTGCTCGATAAATATTCGTCTCTGGCTAGTACTGTAAGCAGAAATAGCAACGAAAYTCTCTATAAATAAAATGAAGGCGGATGCTACTTTAACTCGAATAGAAGAAAAACATAGAATTTAAAAATCTTTCACTTAAGGGGGTAGTTTTTTTTATATTTTTTTTTTTATATTAATGTACAATATCTTGAGATTATTGTGTGAAAATTTGAGAACGGAAATCTTCTTTGCCCATCTCCAATCGGGAGCAAATTAAGTGTGAAACCTTGGACCACGATGCAACGAGTTGAAGGTGAGACCAAACGTCTCTCGCCGAACTGTAACTATTTCTAACAAAGTTTCGAATCATTTCGTTTTTCAAAACGAAAACCAACGAACAACAAAAACAACAGCAGAGCTTTCTTAAAGCTTCTTTACTTAACCAGTTAGACTACCTAATTGAATTGCTTGAAACTTGAAAAGTAAATAAATAAATCAAAATTGAAACACGTATGCAAACATATCTTACAACGGTAAATGCGTCAGCGACAATACGTATATATCTTTAGTTTAACTGTTTTCTATGCCAAGTAAATAAACTGTTTCGTAAAATAAGCCAATTCGAACATTAAAGACAATCGTTTTGTTCATAATCAACCAGAGGTTTCCGACTTATTTCGTGGCCCCCGCGCCACGCATCTCTTTTATAAAACCCGTTTTCATTTGTAAAAAAATACTGCAAMTTTTGAAGTAATTGCAGGGCCAACTACGAATTTCCATTGATTTAATTAGAAAACTGTAAAAAATAAATAAATTATATATACAATAAACACTAAGTAGTAGAATGCCAAGAACCTCAACTAAATTCGGTTTCTTCTTCAACTACGTAGAGTTGGCAACTACGAAGACATGACGCAGAGCGCGACTAAGTTACGAATATCTTAAGTGTAGTAAATCTAGTACCTAAATACGCAACAACTAAGCGCTTGCTGGCACACACACACACACACATCAATACACACAACTACTAGCTCGCACATTGCCAATAACATTTCGACTTCCCCCCATCCACCTCACCCTAATCCCACGCATTCCCGCTTTGCAGACTTGCTTTGATCTTACGTTGTTACAGCGTTGTTATTAAGTAAACTAAGGCACATATACATACATACATACATATATACTCGTGTATAAGTATGTGAGCGGTAAGTGCATATAGGCCAAACGCTTCCAGCTGCTTTCTGGCTCGCCGCGTGCGTGCGTACGTGTGTGGCGCTTGCGTGTGCGGTGCGGTGCGGTGCGGTGCTTTCCGCGTGCATACACACACCTAATTGGTCTAAAGCTACTTACTAAAACAATGAAAAATACGCATTATTATGCTAAATAGCGGATAATGAAACGGAAATGCTACAACAGTTCGTATGTATGTATACAATAACAATAATATTGAAATGCAAAAACCCAAATGACAACAACAAAATTGTGTAAAGCAAATATCTAAATTAAATATGTAAGCGAAAATTTTAACAACACTAATAGAGAAACACAAAAAAAGAAGCATTTTAAAGACGTAATTAAATAAATGAAAACAAAGCAAAACAAACAACAACAAAAACTGTTCAATAACTTTCGACACACGAATATGTAAACATATAGGTCACAAATTCACACAAAACAGCAAAACTTACAAAAAATACACACGTTATTATAACGGAAACTCAAAACAAAGCACGCAATTTAAATCGAAAATCCCCGAAAGATWCACATTAGGAATGTTAAAACAGTTTTCGAAATTTTAGTTCACAAAATTAAGAAGCCTAATTGCTTTATGCGTTACAGACTCTTCTGTTTCAATCCAAATCTGGTCCGAATCTGTTCGTGCTTGCTGCCTTACCTTCTGTGGTAACTTAAGTTCAGAGCAGTCACTTGAATGAGGCACCATAGTCACAAATATCTTGTTCTTTATTTTGCCAGTTTAACGCTAACACCGTTAATCAGACTTTTAATTTTAGCGGCGACACTTCTAGGCAACTTATTGAATTAACAGAAACTTTATTCTGCTCACATAGTAAATTCTAGTCCGCCATTTGGGGGGGGCTGCCCAAACTCTTAAAACATTCGGCTTTTTTTACGAATAGAAGCATTTCGTTTTATTTTTTCTTTCATGTATACGAATTAAATGAAATTGCTTAAAAATAAGATAATCGAACAAACCCAAACACCCACATATTCTGCGATCCGAGTGCTCAGAACCGTTTTTATGAAATAGTCATAGTCATAATTTTAGAAAACACCAAAACTCGAATAGAAAACGAAAACGAAAAAGTAAACAAGAGGGATAACCTCAAAGTTAAAAAGTAAAATAAGCAAAAAACCAARCAAAATGCTTATTAAATTCAACAATCAACTATTAACAACAAATGCATAAACAAATATGGTTGTAAAAATTAGACAAATTAAATTTGAGAAACAATATTAACTAGAAGAGTGAAGCAACATACAATATATTATAGAATATCAGACACGACCAGCAAAATCAACAAGCTAAACTATGGTTAAAGAACAACAAGTCAAACACTAAGTTATTGTATTAGCAGCAGTACATGCATACATACATACATAGTTTTAATTTAGGCTAAGCTATAAGGTAATACATTTCAATTGCGGTGAAAAGGCACAATAAAAATTTAAAACGCAGCAAACATTTGTCTACTTTTATTATTATATAGTTGAGGGTGGTGAATATGAATACAAATCGCCTGAAGAGAGTTTCCATAGCGAGTTCACAGGAGAGCTGGGCTTGTTTTAGCCGGATACGAATTTCGCTGCTCGCTTGATAACAATTCGCAGAAACTTGGTAGACAGTGAATCGCTTATAACGGGTTTTTTATAAAACCGGTTTTAGATATCAATAATAATTCAATGCCATTACATGTGGAACTCGACTTCTCTTGCATGACCACCACGGGCAAGCTTGCAGATGTTCAGACGCTGAACCCCTTTTTGGAGGGGGTTGTTTCCAAGTATAATCGATACTGCTGCAATCTCACATTCGATATGCGTATGATAATAGTATGCATAAGCCCCACAGGAAATAGTCAAATCCCACGACCGAGGTGGTCAATTGACTGGGCCATATCGTGAGATAACACGTTCACCAAATATGGTTTTCAATAAATCGATTGTGAGCGGTAGCGGTAGCGATTCCCATTCACAGTAACGTGCCGGTCATGATCATCACGGAAGAAGTACGGTAATGGTGATTCATGGAGCACGCGTGGATTGCTGCCTGACCAGTGACGCACATTTGAGCCTCATCGCTAAAGATGATTTTTCAATGAACGTTTTCAATGAACGTTTTCAATTTCACGTTGTTGCTCAACCCAATTCACAAACATACGACGATTCTGTTATGACGAAGTGGCTTCATTTCTTGCGTCAATTTGATCTTGTAAGGATGTAGGCCAAGGTATTTTCTTCAAAACTCGCCACAACGACGTCAACGCCCAACRCTTGAGAACGATGTGTGAGAGACTGCTTTGGGTCCTCCTCAATTGATGCGCCAGTSGCAGCAATATTCTYGGCACTACCGGCACTTCATTGTCTCACTGSCACGAGAATATTTTGTACTGTGTACGGTGTAGACAATTGTTGATCTGATTGGACGATTAATACGCGCATAAATTGGACGYAGCGCTCTTAAAGTTGAGACCACAGACTCCGAATTTCGGTAGTAAATTTTACTAATTTCGTCTCATTGTTGGATCGTATATCTTTCCATGATGAAATGGCAAACTTAAGTAAAGAGAAATGTCAAAAGATGACGTCTTTTGCTGTCCCTATCGGTCTACTTTTGTAGCGTCCCTATTGAACAATCCATAAACATAAACATAAACAAATCGAATTGTTGAAACAGGCGAACCTTTGAGTGGCGAGTTTAAATGTTGCCATTGACGTCTAATAGGTGTAAAAACGAATTKTTGGTGTACGGTGTAAGCCAGAAGTTGTTCTTTTTCGATACTCTAGTCAATTCAACTGTTACAAAGTCGAAAACCGTATACTACAGATTGATGGGTTCAGTTGGGTTTAAGTTAATAACAAATTGCAAAACTTCAACCAAAATGCAGTTGGATTAAGACACAAATTAACTCAATGAGCAGTTCGCTATACTCCGCCACAATTATGTCTATGTAAAATCTAGATGAGGTATACTACGCCCGCTGATCATGCCTTATTGTTGTTGATGTACAGTCCTTTGTCGGATAAAAAATTCGGGTTTGTTCCGGTTGCTTAGACCCGACTGTCGTGAGAGCACTKCCACATAAGTAAGGATTCTGAGTGAGTTCACTTTTTCAGCTTTACAGTTTTAGTCTAAACTACCCAGTTCGTGCTTTTCCGATAACAAAGAAATATGGGACAGATTTGTTGGTTTCGGCTGAAGACCTCATATAATATTTCTATTCAGACATTCAGCTTGGCTGAGATTTATTAATTGAGCAGAGACCTTAACCACTAGAGAACCACTAAGARAAGTGGAATCACCAATGAGTAAAACAGGGATAAGCCTGACGTCATCGGCGGATTTCCKCGGTTCTTTCGTCTGAAATGGAGCGACCAATAGCAGGGGTGATCGYTATCCGGAAACTATGTTAGATATCTAATCTAAGAGTTAATAACGGTAGATATATGATTGTAATGAGGACGATGAGATTTGGAGAMAACGATTGTAAACTTATGCTTCTTACTTTATATTCGATTGATAGGATTATACTTACCGATGAAAGAAGGAATACTTTTATAGCATGGAACAATTGTTACAGATTTGTTTTAAATAGTACAATCACTAGATGCCTTAAACCCAAATTTCGCTAATAGAAAAATATTTTGTTTTCAAAACTTTGTTTGGTTCAGAACGCTTTTAACAATGATTTCGTATAAAATTAATTTACAATTTAGGGATAAAAAGTCTGCTTCCACTTCTTTTTACTCTTTGGTCCTTCTGGTCGCAATGCTCTTGGTATATACTCCTTTTGATGTTGATCCAGTGTTCTCAACCATGGATTTATGCCTAACTCAAAGAAGCGACGTTTTGGCTCCATGACYCTCGTTTTGTTATCAATTTTATAAATCTTTTCCCAAAGATAGATTTCAGGGATAGCTAAATGTCGAGGTCTATTGGACATTAAATTTTTAAACACACGTTCTAAAAATTCGCGCTTCTCCGCATTTTCATAGTCAGCTATATACTTTACAACKGATCCCAAATAGGGTTGCCTTTCGCTTGCAGATCTATGGATCTCCGGTGCATTTATATAAAAGCGTAGAAGATGCCGCAAGACATCCTCATTAAAATCAACAACTTTACCAGAACTATTTATTTCACCATATAGTTTGATCTCGGCAGTTCCTCGGCAAAAATTAACTTTCGGATTATCATCTACATGATGTGAGTGTACAAGTAACGTGTTTAACTGGTATTCGTAAAATGACCAATCACGTCCATTTGTTACAATGGTTTGTGTATTCATTGGATACGTAAGATCGTTAAAAGTATTAAATCCGTTGTAACTAGCTTGTCCCAGTAACCAAGAATAGCTACTTTGAATTGCATGAGCGTGCAAAGCCTCTTTGAAATCTTCAACTCCGTATGTATCTGGTCTTATTTGAAGAAAAGCTCGTGACTGATAAGAAATGCTCCCAAAAATATTTCTGCTGCCAGGCCAGAACCCTTAATATAAACACACACATTTTTTATTTACCCAAAAAAAACTAGTTTTTTTTACCTGGAATATTGGTTAGGTGTTGATGACTACAGACATATCCTAGGGTACGTGGATCATAGTTAAAACGTGGAACAGTTTTCGCCAATTCGATATTTGTTGATTCCGACTCATTTTTCCATGGAGTGATTTGGTTCCGATGTCTTATTGCAAGAAAAGGCTTTCCTGAATATTGCATGAAACGGTTATAAGGATCGTTTGCCATTTCTTTTTGCCATTTACGGCCCTTTTTACTCCTTACAACGTTTTTTGGAGGATTTATTCCACCCACTGACCAAAAAGCTTCGTGTCTTGGASTGTAATCAATTTCTGATTCTTGGAGATGAAGAAAATCACTTGACAATACATTAATTAGTGTTCTATTCACTTGTTCAACAATAAGTCGGGCGAATATATTTTCCCTTTCCTGTGGTTCCATATTCGCTGCATCTGGATATGCATTACTAGAAAAAATATACTTATATAAAAAAAATATATCATTTACACATTACACAACTTACCTAAAATAATCGTTTACATATTCAATTGATTCTTGTATTTCAGATTTAATTGATTCAGTATATACTTCAAATTTTTGATCATCTGTTTGTGSGGTTTCTTGTAAAGGATCTTTACTCTTAACATCTTCGTAAATAGTGCGAGTATAGTGCTGCATGGCAGGCAAACTGTTGTATGGCACTTTCGAGTCACTCAAATCTACTACTTTGAATCCATAATAACGAGGCATGTTAATCTTGATTAACTTCTCTTCCACGGTTGGTACTTTGCGTATTTCCTCATGCCAACTTCCAGTTTCACGCAGTTTTCGTGCTTTAAATGATAAATCTTGTATTTCGGGATAAATTGGCTCATCAGTATACTCGGTGTTATCGCGTGCATTGCTTGCTTTGGTCGATGTTGCTACTGTTGACTGTAACCGAGATGTAAGGCAAGGTGATGTACAAAGTATCTGTAGCTTCCTACAGGTTTCCCATCTTATACCTAAACTTAACATCTTTTATCACACAAAAATATTYCAATATAAATAATTTTTCACAACTGAGTGCCTATTAAATTCTTATTGAACAGGTTATGAAAGAACAGCTGATACAGATTAAAAATGTTGCCACACAGATTTTGTATAGTTTCGTTCAGTAAAGAGCTGTTCCAATAGTCTCATCACAACTTATAGGAATATTTACGTCCATTCAGGTCGTCGTATGAAATTGCTTTTTTTYCGTAATATTTCCATTATTACWYTAATATATGTATATAAATATTTAAATATTCTCTTATTTGATATTTGAAATTTGAAATTTTTGTTATGATTGGAACGCAGTGTTTATGAATCATGAATAAACAATTGATACAAAAACTTTCATAATAATTGTTAATTAAAAGTTAAGCATGTAACTGGCGCAATCTCTAGAGAAATATAGTGAAACAAATATCCTTTATTTTAGTACCTTTTCATGAGGTTTAAAGACTATATAATAAGCAACTTTCTGTGCAACCCTGCAGGTTAAAACAATTTATAAAACAAACTCTGACAACAACAATTCTAAAAGTCACACGCGGAAAGAAGGAAAACGGAATCGAGTGGAAATTCGCAAGAGTATAATTTGCACAATTTCCATCAGTGCGGACAAGATATTTAAAATAAAATTAAAAAATTCAAAATATAATAATAATARTTGTTATTATAAGTGCATTATTTTGAAAACCGCCTGACGTTAAGAAAAAAAGCTTCATTTTTAGTCGGTACTGTAGAGCCGGCTGTATGTAGATGTGTGCTGAACCATAATGTGCAATTCAATGAATTTTGGTTTTGAGGCAATGTTGTAGTGAATTTGGAAGTAAATACAGTCTGTGTCTCAAAGATTTCGTGTTACAAACAGAACCACATTCAGAAAGTCATTGCTTAAATTCCCTTATTGTGAAAATATTGAAACTTTCGATAMCAAATAAAAAGCGGGACTTCAGTAGATGTATTATAATCGGTGAGTTGCAGTTTTTAAGAGCCGTTAGAATATGGCCGATTAATGGAAGTGCAGTTACTTTTGGCTCATGAGGTATGTACATATGTKATTTAAATTTTAATGAAATCTATTTTTTACTTCACATAAAAATATATTCCAGTAACATTATAGATACGTGTATAAAAAGATTTCGACTTTAATTTATTTAATGACCAATCATTTTACAACAATTAGCATTAAAAACAATTGCTGTAATATTTGCTAATTAATTTCCAGCAACATATAATTGCTGTATTTTTTACCTAATTGTAATTTGTATTCAAACCATAGATTTTTATATCTATTCAATTTCATAGTTACCAAATAATATTGGTTCTCAAAGCCGTACTACATTTTAAGATCCCGTTGTAATTGCTTTTCTTGTACTGTGCATAGCCAAAGTTATGCATATTACATGATGAAAAATTCAAAATTTTATTAACAATTGTTTCATGGTTTTTCCTTTCAGATAAAGGAAGGAATAAATTCCGCATATTTTTCCAGTTGACAGAAACTATGACCGAAAAAAATCCGTCAATATATTCTGAAACTAAGGTATTTAAGCCCAAACATTGAAACACGAGTMAAACTTAAATTTTAAACCGACTTACATATGTGATATTCTTACAAAASGTAGAACACTATTGTACGGTACATGTAAAATAAACACAAATGTCGGTAATTTTAGGAGGGTGTTAAATAATATTTGATTTAAAATAGCTCGATATTAAATCTAGTATTGCGTTGAGATTGAAATGGTTGCAGGCAACATGAAAATCATAACACTTACAAACGTATCAACTGTAAAAAATCAACCAGTCAGCAACAATGTGGTAAAAGCTAGCTCCCCAAATTCGATGAATAAAGCAAATGTTAGTCAACAAACGCAAGGTAGCAATACAAACGAATCTCCTAAGATGAGGTATTTTAATGGAACTAGTATATATAATCACAATACCAGTACTAAGTCGCTGCAAACACCAAAACAATGTAATTCTAACAACAAAAATTGTAAAAAAYCACAATCTCACATGTTCTACAACATTCCAACCACATCAGTTTTAAATCGCAAGAAATACTATCAGCAACATCACCATCATAACCAACATCAGCACAATTTTGTTAATAACAGTAAGGAGATCAGAAATAATATTCCAATTAAGAATCATGATATGTTAGAATCTGATCCTTCGAACCCAATAGATGCACATCTTGCATGTGTGCAAAAACAAAATATATCAGTTGATAACAGTAAAGTGGAAGATTTCGTAAATAAYAATACAACAACATTAAATGTCAACAACATATGTATACAACAAATTCCTGATGATACTTGCGATGGTACGACCGTTGACAATTCCATTGCTCTTTCTTCGCACAGAGCAAAATCAGAGTTCAAACAACACGCCCCTTCAACAGATAACTTTCCAGTCTCAACACCCGCCGATAAACATAATTGTGTTGGTGAAAATAAAAGTATTAACCTTGATTGCAATAGCTGTTGGACTAATCTCGTTGCTCCTCAGTGTACTGAATCTCCGGCTTCGCTATCATGGCCATGGGTACACATAAGTAGACGTAAAAGTTCTTCAATTAGTTCAACATCGTCGTACTCTTCGTCAGTGTCATCAGCATTATCAATTTCCGCCGAAAGTAACCCGGAATTTCAACAAAGTATCAGCGTTACATACGCAAATAACTCATATACATCGAAGAAAAAGTCATTTCGAAAAGGTAATACCAATAATAATAACAGAGGTAACATAGATACCCGTTATTCGTCTCCACGTATAAAGGGCCAAAGGCAACGGAGGGCTACTAACGTATCGAATACGACAGATGAGGTACGTAAAAGCGATTACTAAATTACTTTATTATCATTTCACTGTAATTCCTATAATAAGTTATATAAATGAATCTTATATTTTCAAGGTTCCACTAATTACTGAATGTCAAAGGAATATACACCCCGCTGATCCTACAGCGATGAGCACTGTGTTGGCTACGAACACAGTTTCTGCCACAGCAACAACAACAAGTACTGTCGATTCTAAAGTGGAAATAACTATTGCTGCAGAAAATGCAAGTGGTTTAGTTAAGTCTACAAGTAATGTAACACTAACCGTTGCATCTCCTTCATCATCATCTCTCCAAGATATAACTAATATAGACGAATTTGCTAGTTTGTCAATACTACCTGTAGCACCGCAACCGTCAGGCGAAAGCACAAATTCTTCCGTTTCTTTGACGACGCCATCCAGTTCTCCGACGGCATCAACGCCGGGAACATCACCCTCCAATTCATACTCTTTAGACTTTTTGCACTCAGTAGGTGTACAAATGACTGGTGGAGCAAATCTATCGGCACTGTGCAAGAATAATACAAACAATAGCCGCACAATAACGCCATTCAATAGTCAGAATACAGGTGTAATGTCACCTGTGCATACCGCATACTCCTACCAAAATATTTTACCACAAAGATCTCACCCAATGCATGGTCGTTATACGCCTAACAGTGGAGGTATTGGCGTTGGTAACAGCGGCAATCATATGAGAGACCAACGGGCACATCGCTTCCAGCAAAACCACCATCATCATCATCCGCAGCAACTGACAATTGCCTCGTTTATGCAGAAAGAACTTTTAAATGAAAACGTTCTGGCCGGTAGCAACAGATCTGATATCTCTGATAACGGTCCAGAGGACAGTGATGGCGTCGATGTTAACAATAACAATGCTGAATATACAAATCAACATTCCTATCGAAACCATCAGCGTTTTCATAACTACTACCAGTCGCACTATCAACAATCACAGCAGCATCGTCTATCCGGAATACAGCATGGGTATGTTACACTGCATCCTTCGTATAACAGAGAAGCGGAAAACGAAGGCGGTTCACTTGTAAGTCGAAGCGGAAGTTATGCTTACTCGCAACATGTTAAGCGCAATAATACGTATCAAAATCATCAAAATAATGGCGAGGCTACATCGAATTCTGGTCAATCGCTTCCTGTTCATAAAAATAGTGTAGAAGATAYAGACAGCGAAAATGTTAATGCTAGTAACAATGCCAAGGGAAATAATGCAAATAATAATTCATGGTCTTCCAAGCAGTTTCATCAGAAGCTATTGAGTTCTAAAAAATCAAATAGCGGTTCTAATGTGTCATATTCGTGTTCATCCTCGTCATCCACAACGTCATCGGTATCCTCTAATTCATCTCAGGCTTCAACCAGTTCTTATCGACAACAGAAAGGGAAATCATCCTCTCAAATGAATTTAATAATCGAAACCCTTCCTAGAAAAGTGAACACGTCTATACATCGCGGTAATCACAGAGTGCAACAGGTAAATTACCATAACCAACAATATACATCGGCTGCAGGTGGTTCACAGCCATCGACTGCTCAACAAACCCATCAAAATATTCATAATTTGACCTATGTTAATACCGAGAGTCTTACAAGTATGTCTGGCGTTGGCATGGGTTCAGCAGTTCCATCGCGTAGCTGTAGCCCTTCACTACCTCCGCCTGTAGCTAGTACWTCGGGGGGCCAATCCCAAGATGCTGTTTCATCTGTGGTACTTTCATATACCCCTAATCACTTTCAATCGCAAGAACAACATCAGCAAAGTTTTATATCCGGGAAATGCTTGACACCTTTTGCCTTAAATGTACCTTCTACACATGTGCATTCAACATCCCCACATCCGGTTGGGAATATGATTTCTTACGCACAGCTGAACGATTCTGTCACGTCCTTTGATTCAAATCAAGTACCGAGCGCTGTTCAAGGAGCAAAAACTCGCGACTACGATGACTCGGATTCCTCGTCGACAAATTCAGCGGTACAGCCACAGCGTCGAAATAAATATCAGCAAGCAAAATCAGTATCGCTCTCGTCATCGTCGTCAACATCTTCGACCTCCTCGTCAACTACGAGAAATTTTAATAGACCAGTGCCTGTGTTATCTATTGTTGCTATGTCACATTTGCAGAGCCCAGAACCCACCGAATTCGGGTATAATCCAAAATTTTGTTCAACATCTCAGCATTACGCGCCCCAGACTCAACCATTACCTTCACCTCAACAACAATCGCCATTTCGTACTAATGGAGTTATATCAATGCTAAATGTGCCTTTTGCCAATAATTATTCGGAAGATGATTTGAATTCTATGAAACAACATTCTCTGAAAAACCAAAGCATACATCCTCATCAGCGGCATTTTTACTTTGCATCCGGAGAGCATTTAAATGCTACCCCGTTGTCAGCACATGTTGCGAATGCCGGGTACTGGAGTCCGTTACAAAACTCCAGCTTCTTATACCCTCAGCCTGCTAATTTTTTGGCAACTGCACCTTGTCTGACACCGACCGCAACTCTGTCACCTGGCTTTAGCGAACAGGATGATCACCATTTTCACCATCCGCACAATCAACAGCAACTCAACATTGTTAACCAGACAGAGGGCTTACCGTCAGCCGGCCAAATAAAAAGCAGGTATGTAGATTAATTTTTTTGGACTTTAATACTTCATCTTACTTATAAATATTATACCATCGAGTGAGTTTAATCTTGTTTAGTTTATCGAAAACTTGCTGTTTATCAGTTGCTATTATATTTTGTAGTTGTATTAAATTTCTCATATTATTGACAGTTCAACTCCACAAATGGGTGGTGCCATCATGTCACAACAACCACACCAGCGTCTGACACAGTCAACAGCATCACAAGGTGGAATAGTAACGACTACCACAAATGTAGCTGCGTTACGTCAACGTAATGTCGGACGTAATAGTCAACAACAGACGCTGCACCATCATCAACAAATGACTGCCCCGCCACCAACTCCTATTTCTCATGTATATCCCCAGCATAATCTGCTCTTTGGTGGACCAACGACTCACATTCGTACTGCTTCCAATACTGTTCATGAATTTTTTACTCATACACCACCTGACCGGTTTTTAGCCCGAGCACATCTTATAGAAGCTAAAGAAGCTCCGTGCTCATTATTGAATAACTCGAAATGGGACAACCTATCGCAAGATGTCTGGAACAAATTTATAAACTCTCAACAAACTGAGGAGACCTTCAAGCAGAAAATGCGGTTATGGCGCTATCTCTATATTATTATTAAGGTTGCTACTCCTTATAATTGTTCGAAATAATATACTTATAATCACACCTGCTTTCAGAACACTTATCCACGTTTTGGCCTATATCTGGTGGGTTCTACTATTTCCGGATTTGGGGCAGATACTTCCGATGTAGATATGTGTTTAGTGTCACGCAGTACGTCAAATGTGGAACCCCGAATGGAAGCACTGTTCAACTTGACTGTCCTGCGAGATTATCTGAGCAAATCAGGTATTTATATTTTTGCTATTTTTTATTTAAATAAAGTGATTAGTTGACTAATTGTATATTAAACAAGTAAGGAAGGGTTAAAATCGACTGCAACCGAACATTTTATATTCTTGCAACTCGCAAGAATCAAAGACAGGGAAATACTTTATAGTGTAAAACCAAAGATATAAGAGTAAAGTCAGCCGGATGTTCCAAAGTCCTGATATTAGTTTTTCTCAAACTTATCTTTTTAAGGCACAAAGATGCTCTGTTAAGAATAAAACACGCTTTCTTTTTTTCATTGGATAATGCACATGTTGGWCGATAAACTTCGAAAATCTTTATATTAAGCTAAGGGAAGTATTGGTCCGATTCAAACTATTCTGACAAACTGACTCACAGACATAACATTATAAGAGAAGAATATATAAGGAAGGGGGCACACAAAGACATTATTCGAGCAAATTTATATCCCGTTATATCGCGGCTCCCATAAAGCTCYCTCATACCATATCRKTGGTAAAATTTAATGTCYGGCATATTTAGTTATTGACTTATCGCGCTTTTTGTAGTTTTTAACAGTATCGTTATATGGGTAGTGAGCGGCTTTATCCTCCGATTTCATTCATTGTAGCACTGTCGGTAGAAGTAAGTATATGTGCTCAACAAATTTTGGTTCCTGTAGCTCAAACGGTTTAAGAGATATGTACATCAAACTTTTTAAAGGGCGGGTCCAYGCTCACTTTTTCAAAAAAWTTTGTACACCGGCGCTCCTTGCTGCTGCAATCTACTAAAATCATTTATATACATACATACGTATGTATATGCATCCCTATATCTATCTCGCTTAGTTTTAAGTGATACGTACAACCGTTAGGTGAACAAAACTATAATACTCTGTTGCGAGTATAAAAGTTAATGATTCCGTTTTTTTTTTTTTTTATTATTCTTTGAACTCTACATGCGGTGGCAATGAAATTTTTGTAGTCTAGTAAGTAATCAACGCGTAATGATTCGAACTAATTTCCCAAGGTTTCTTCAAATTAGCAAATTTTGAATGCCAAAAATAAGTTTGTTTCTTAACTGCTAACTATCACTAGCTAGCAAAGCTGGAAAAAAATATCTTAATCCAAAAAAGTTAACAAGTTGAGAGTGTAAAAAGCGATATTTTGCACATTTGCTTTGATTTTTTATTTATTGTTTTCATTGCTTTGAAAAATTACATAAATAAATTTTCAAGTGTAGATATAAAGTGATTGTGAAAAAACAAAAAAAAATTTGATAATTTTTTCCTTTACTTATTCATTATTTCCCTCATTGTGTAAGTAATTTCCAATCTTCCTCCTGTTAACTACCAGTCACTTGCAGTTAAGAAACACGCTAAAGTCAATAAAAGAGTGAAATGTAAATAATTGCCACTAGTAATTTGTACTTCAAAGCAATTTCAGCCAACATTTTTGTCTGATTGAATGGGGAAACATGAAGGTCGCGATTATTGTCGATTATAGAGGACGATTTTTCGATATCTGCTGAAACCGATATCAACGTTAAATAACACAAAAGAGCGATATATCTTACCCTTAAAATCAAAGACAGATTTACTGTTCGCGCCAAGTTCAAGTGTTATTGCATGCTTTAAATATTTTGTTACCTGGTTGAAGGAGAACATTTGTAATCGACGTGAGTGGCAACTTTCAGTTAAATTTATTAATACAAATTGTGTGGATTTCACCGGTTGCGTGTTCGAGTGTGAGCATTTAGTGTTCGGTGTGTGCAAATATTTGTTTAAGTTTTCTTCAAAGATCTAGTTTCACAAACTAATTTAATTGTATTATTTCCTTTATAACTAGCCGAGTTCGAAAATTTCAACCTTATTGAAGCAAAAGTACCAATATTACGCTTCAGAGATCGAATTCATCAGCTGGAAGTAGATTTAAACTTTAACAACTGTGTAGGGATCAGAAACACACATTTATTATATTGCTATTCACAGCGTAAGTACAAATTTAATACAAAAAATATATATTTATTTTTCGCTACAACGTATGATATGTTTATTTTTAGTTGATTGGCGTTTACGACCCATGGTGTTAGTTACAAAACTATGGGCGCAATATCATAACATTAACAATGCCAAAAATATGACAATATCCAGCTATTCTTTGGTTCTTATGGTAATACACTTTTTACAGTACGCTGTCAGGCCAGCGGTGCTTCCGTGTTTACATGATTTATTTCCTGATAAATTTCCATTGGTTAGTAATTTAAATAACATTTTTAATTTTGTCGCATATAAGCATGTTTGTATATAAATAAATATGATTTAATAATAAAAACGTACTTGCAGCTGCGATCAAATGACTTTGGTTACGTGGATATGAACGAAACTATTGATCCATATGAGTCTAAAAACACACAAACTATCGGTGAACTTTTTCTCTACTTTCTAGAGTACTATAGTTGTTTTGAGTAAGTCATATAACGCTTGAATTATGGTATGAAGTATTAAAATAGTGTTCCGATTTATTTTTGCGTTGCAGTTTCACACAATTTGCCATTTCAATTCGTACTGGTGGTCTTCTTCCAATAAACGTGTGCCGCCTGGCGAAGTCATCGAAAAACGATATCCACCAATGGAAGGAGCTCTGCATTGAAGGTAGTTATATATATAATATATATATGTATATACATATGTAATATAATACTATAATATATATATGTATATATAATATAATATATGTAATATATGGAAATGTGTAAGTAATATAAATTTGAATGCTTTATTTCTCTTTCTAGAACCATTTGATTTAACAAATACAGCGAGATCGGTGTATGATTTCGAAACATTTGAACGAGTCAAAGCAGTATTTGTGGCTTCTTGGCGAATATTACAGCAAACATTAGATTTGAATTCCATTTTTGCACCAATTATTGTACCGCCAACAAACAGTATTGTCTCCACGTTGAGACACACGGGCTTTCAATATGATGACTGTCATAATAGCGCATCTTCACACGTTTCTACTACGGATTCCAATACTATAAATATGAATGCGAATGGATCTACAACTCTTTTAAGTTCAGACAATAGTTCGAATCTGTCACCTGCTATTTCAGTGGCGTCGTTACCGATCGAGACAAACAACAACAATCCTGTTACAAAAGAAATATTTAACAATGGGAACGGAAATAGTAAATCCACTGGAGGTTCACTAACAGAGCTGGTTTCTTGAGCTATTTTACACTGCAGCGAAATATTCAAACATGTGTGGCGTGATTCTCTTCAAAATCTACATGCATGTAAGTTTTATTGTTGCGCAGAACCATACAAAATGAAAAATCTCTAGTCATACTGCAGGTCATGCTAAAAGACTGATATTATGATTTATTAAGTTAAGAATACGTCGTTAACTATCTTTATACATTTGAAAAAAAATTCACTTCCAATGCTTCATAGTCAGTGAGAAAATGCTTTTACAAATGAACTGTAGTTAATTATTTTTTATGCATTCTAAGTGAGTGGTTTAATTATTAAAAAGTATAATTGATTTTTAATAATGACAGATGAATAATTCTACTTTACYACGGGTAAATATGTTTCGATAATGTGGCAAGATTTGAATTTATCGTATTACCGTATCTTATGACATATGTGAACTTCTCAAAAATTCTTGCATTTAATTTTCTTACATCCAGTATTGTGTCATACACTTATAAATTTTCCACAACAATGATCTAAAACATTTTCATTCTGCATTTCAATTACTTTCCCCGAGTTCTGCTCGATAATCTAAATTTATTAATTTATGATAATAAGTATTTTTGCCCACTATACTTTTACATCTGTACCCTGATTTGAAGATTGTGATTTTTAAGTAATTCCATAATCCAATTATATTTCCTCCTCATGCAAAATGACAGTGTTCATTATCTCAATTTACCTTATGTAGTTAATGTACCACTTCCARCYGACCTATGCCTGCAACAAAACATTCGGATAATTCATCACATGTCATTGTCAGCATCTTAGCTGYCACCATGTCCTTTGATATTGGATCAAGCGCATTTCAACCATTGCGACCTCCTCCCTTTTGGGTCTTTTTTCAAAACCTGTGCAATATCTATTAGCCCACATTTCAATTTCAAAGAAACCAATTTGCTCCAGGTAGACGTTTGCTATTTTTGGTAGCACCGTGAACCTCTTCTCAACCCTGTTTACGTAGTCCGACTCCTCTACGTTTACCAACTTGCCATTGTGCCTCCGAGCGATATTAACCTTAGTGGAGGCTTGAGCAATCAAGACCTTCTCCAGGTTCGAGACCTCTATTTCGGATCCACAAATACTGGATCGTGTTCTTACACATTTCGTGAAGTGCGGGAGTTTCAACCTTATTTTCTACTTCGCGGACAGGTTGTTGCAATGCGGTACGGCGACACTCCTCAAGCACGGCAGCGAGATCATCGTCGCTAATGTGTCGTTTTGCATCAAGCTTCGGATTCAGTCGGTTTTGGATTACCTTCTTATTCAAGTGCTTCTTATGCTCTTCCTTCTTCTTTTCCCTTACGCTCTTACTTGGGACAGAAGTTTTCTTCTGATTGGCTGTGGGAATGTTAATTCCAGAACTATCAGGTTGCGCGATTTGCATTATTGCTTCGTCTAATTCACGCAGTGGATTCATCTTTGAAATTTTGCTTTAAAGTTAAGATTTTTATTTTCATAAAGATGGGTGTGTTTTCAGTAGCTCGGCCACTAATTTAGGTTTCAGCCGTTCCCACGACAGTCGGGTCTACGAAAACCGGAACGGACCCGGATTTTTATCCGGCCAAGGACTGTCAACTCGGCAGAATTCTGCCGTTACAACACAACAACAGCCCACATTTCAGTGTTTTGGTTCATAAATTCTTTCAAACGATAAGTAACAGGAATAATAAGACGATGTGATACTCGAAAGAGATAATGATAATACGACGACTATACTAACTGTTGAAAATTTTATCAGCTATCCCACTTCTGATTTTTGCGAAAACGCATTGCTAAAATGRCAAAACATTGAGGTTCACTTATCAAATAGTGACACGGAGTGGATGCTGTTCCGTCTCATGGAGTATCTGTGGGTTGGAASCACTCCATATTCGACAATTTTGTTTGTTTATGTTGCCGTTTAAGTCGAAATGGGCCTCGTCAGACATGAAAMGACAGTTCAACATGTTTCCATCCTCTTCCACCGTTTGAAGCATCTTCTGGCAAAGTTCCAAGCGAATCGGCAAGTCTGCAGCGTTCASTTTGTTGGCCATTTGAATTTTATATGGGAATAAGTCCAAATCTTTGTGTATAATTGACTGTAATGACTGTCTGCTTAMACCCATTTGAGCAGATAAACCTCTTGTTGAAACAGGTGGATTGTTTTGTATGGAAGCAGCTACAGCAGCGATTGTTTCCTCCGTTCGAACTGAAGGGTTTCGATGGTAAGGTCTTCTGTTGACTGTCCCATGCTCGGCGAAATTGTTTACAATTCTCATTATGGTCCATCTGCTCGAAGGATTGCCGTGATAGCGGCGGACAATCCAAATTCTTGTTTCAGTGTCCCAKTTATCCATTTTTGTTAAATGTAAATGATAAAGTCAATCTGCAAAATAAAAAAAATTAACCAGATTTATTAAATAGAAAAAAGTTATTTAATTTTTTTTTGGTAGCGGCTTTCATCAGCCACCCTGTACTCAGCTCTGGCTGCTTAGAGCTCAYTTATTTATATCATACATTAAATACTACTATCTGTATTCAATTTACCCGAAATGAACATTAATTACAGTGTTGATAGAAATGGGTATGTATAAATACATATGTAGAAGAATTTGCTTGTTGATGATTCCGTGGAGGATTTTCCCTTTCATCTTGTTGATGACTCCATATCACTTTACATTTTTACACTTTACTATATTTCAATATTCAATAACTTCACTTTTTATTTTCACTACAAGAGCACAGCAAGTTTTGCTCCTATCAAGATCACTTCTCTAACTGATTCTGCGAGGACATAACGCCTAATTATATACGCACCCCTTCATTGCTCTTAAAGTAGGTTACGGTTCCTGCCTCTCTTCACTCTGTTCGCAGAATACGATCAGACCTCACTCATTAACAGTTTCTCTAGTCCTGTTACTATGCTTATTTGCGCATTTACATTCTATAGTACCSTAATATATGCCGTCAATGCGTCGCSTACTTCAAATAACGTTCTGCCACATACAGTTGCCTACGAAATATTTGCACTACAACATATGTATTACCCTGACATACAAAATACAAGCATAAGCGCTCCGACAAATACATACCCTGTAGTTCGGTACCATCGGGGAAGAACTAACGATATGACTAATTCCTAATCATTAGAACCAGTTCCAGCCCGATTACTCGCAATGTTATTTGACTAACGATTTTTACATTGCAATGTCCTACGAGAGTAATCGAGCGGTGCGACGCTGCATTACCAGACATTGGTGAAATGACTAGTTCCAAAATCGTTAGTGAATCGCTAATACAGAATCGCCAGCGTTTTCATTAATTCAAAATGGCTAGTGATTTGACTGACTCCAAATCGTTAGTGATTTCGTTAATTCGA